CAAGAATTCAAGACAAGTTTCCACATTGTAGGGGACGATTTTCCAATAGTACAAGATGAAATTATCGGAGAGCCATTCTTTACTAAAAATGAAGCAACAATCAATTTAAAAAAAAAACGACTCGAATTCGAAGGACGAAAAATCCTTTTCGAACCTCCGAATTCAGTAGTACTACCGGCCAGAACTAAAATCCAGATCCCTATCAGAATAGTAAATCCTGAAATTAATACTGGATATGTGCCTCGGTTAGATGGTGGTCCAGACGTTTATCTCGGGAATGCTCTGATAACAAATCATAGAGGTATCGGTTACATTTATGCCATTAACACCTCTGAAGAAGAATTAGAAATTGAAACTTCACAAGTTAGGTTATGGGACTTTGAAGAAATGACCGATTCTTACTATTCCCCTAAATCCACTGAATCTACTATATCCGTTGAATCCGTTGAATCTGTTAAATCCCAAGAAGTCCCTAATCAAAAGAGTTCTGAAAATCAATTCAAATATCAAAATCACAATCATTCAAAAAAATCTAAAGAAGTCAATAAACTCACAGTTGACGATGACGAACGAAGTTCAAAATTGTTCGAACTTCTACGCTTAGATCATCTGAACAAGGAAGAAAAAGAGTCGATACAACAAATTGTTAAACAACATAACGATAATTTCCATATCCCAGGAGAATTCTTAGGAGCGACTACTAAATCCCGTCATCCTATCCGTACGGTAGATGACATTCCAATAAACACAAAACAATATCGATATCCACCGATACATAAGGAAGAAATTCGTAAACAGGTGGACGACCTATTAAAAAATGATATCATTAAACCCTCTGATTCACCATACAATGCACCATTGTGGATTGTACCCAAGAAACCAGATTCTCACGGAAATAAAAAATGGAGAATGGTAATTGATTATCGAAATCTAAATGAAAAAACAGTAGGAGACGCTTATCCACTTCCAAACATTATAGATATCCTAGACCAGCTTGGCAATGCTAAATATTTCTCTGTCTTTGATCTCGCTTCAGGTTTCCATCAAATAGAAATGGTTCCTGAAGATCGACATAAAACAGCATTCACTACTCCTCACGGTCATT